AACTTGGACTTGGACTTGACTCTGACTGTGGCTCTGACTGTGGTTGTGGCTCGTCTTGGCTATGACTTTACAATTTGTTTGGCTTTTTGCGGCCGCCGATAGGCTCTGAAGTGTGAAACATGCCTTCAACTTTGCACACAAACACACACACACAGCATACACACACTCACACACACACACACGTAGCCGCAACTCGGCACAAAAATGACTTCGTCTTCGTTTCTTGACTGTCATTCCGTCTGTCTGTCCGTTTGTCCGTCTGTCTGGCTGTCTTTCTGAACTTCTTTAAGCGGAAGTTCAAGGCGTTCACTCAATTGTATCGTGTAATGAAATGTTTTATAAGTCAGCCCGTGTACCTGGTTCTAACAAAGACGCAGCTCGAGTTGAGTTCGCATTAATAATTGCTCGTTTATTTTAACTGTTGCTTTTGGGTCATTGGCTTCATATTGGCTCCGGGCCCGCCGGCTACTTGTCATTTCAGAGAACACCCCACCACAAAGCTGCCCCACACCTGCTCATTAGCCAAGCGTCGTGGTTTATGCTAATATTTACACGCATCTCTTTGGCCTGGCTGCAACAGCTTCTAGCTTTGTTCACATCATTTGTCATCTGTTCTCGGACTCAAATCGGTTTACAGCATCGACTTAATTAATGGCAATAATCAAAGCAAAGCAAGTCAAAGCAGCAGCAGCAGCTCAACCACTTGATATGGTCCAAGCTGCTGGCAGCGTCAAGGTTGTAGACCTTTTTGACCAAAACAAAAAAAAAAACAAATGTATCCCAAAAGCCAACAGCGAACAGAAAATTGACGTAACTTATTCGCATTTATATCACTCTCGTCTGTAAGTCGCGGAATGGAGGGGCAGGGGAGCACAGCTATAGATACCATCATCAGGCAGACAACAACAGACTCGAAAAGTGGCGCGTCAAAATTAATACGTTTTTAAATGCCAAGCGACGCAGCTTCCTGTTGAGAGACCCCCAGCTCCAAGCCAACGAATCCCCAAGCCCCCAAGAGCCAAGTGCCCGACGTTAACAAAATCTTACGCACATGCGCGTAATTGTTGAGGCCGCGCCACAGCCAGATACCAGATACCATAAACCATAAGCCATAAGTTCTGGTTACGCTTTTTTTTTTTTTGGGGCGGCTCAATCAAACTTTGCAAGTGCGAGAGCTGCTCAAGCAATTGCTCATAAGCTAATATGTACTAAAAGCTCAATAGAAAATTAAAGCTTAAATATTGTTTCAAATAATCAAAAATTTAATTCAATTAAGATAAATTTCTTTAAGCTTTTAAACAGTCGAAAGGCGAATATAGCCTGCTCTGCGGTTGCCACGATTTAAGCTTTAAGATAGCTTTAATGTATTCCCTTATCCAAGCAAAAGCTTTCATGTGCTTACAAAGCTCCTTGTTAATCGCAACAGCTTTAAGCTTCGAACAAGCTTTCATATGCTTGCAAAACTCTTTTATGACTTTTGTATAATTTAATGCTTCAAGAGAGCTTTAATAAATTCACTTATTCAAACAAGAGCCATTGTGAATGTTGGCAGAGCCACCTTAGTTCACATTTTAAACATTTTACAACTAGCCCCGAAGAAAGCTCTTTGTTTTATTTGCTCGCCACGTACTTAGCCTAAGTTCTTGGCTAAAATTCTCGTCTCGCACCTCGCCGCATAAATTAATGATGGGCCTGGGCCAAGAGTGAAGCCGAAATGTAAATTGAATTTTAAAAGGCAATTTAACGTGCACGTTCTGCGGCCATAATTAAAAATTAACTTCAATTTAACACTCGGCACACAAAACTTCAATTTGTGATATACGCAATTTTCCAGCGGCGACTGTTGCCGCATTTTTTTTAATTAACCCAACAATCACACACATGATTTATGAACATTTTTGTAAGTTTGCAATTGAAATATTAAACGAAGCCCCAAAACGGAATCCAAATGAAAAACACAAACAAGCGTTGAATGCAAATGTTTGTTGATTTATGTCCATTGAAAATGCATTTAAAATTTATGCAAAATTAATTAACAGGCACAAATAAAAAGAAAAATTAAAAGATACTTCAGTTCAGAAGCCATAATGCAATGTAATGCCACGCCCACCAGCGCCTTTATTGGCGCACTATTAATTCAATTGAGGGCCATTCAATTGGAAAATTCGCTACATGACGGCCAATTGTTAAATAAGCTTTTCATGCAATTAAGCTCAAATTTCTGTGGGGACTCAACAGGGAACATTTTAATGGGCCACGAAGAGGGTGTTGAGCCACAATGGACGGCAAGTGGTTTATAAAAAGAAAGTGTTTATAAATGTGTTAAAATCATATTCAAAAGATGCCTAGATTTTCAGATAACAAGAAGCGAACTCTGCAATATGCGGAAATCATTCGTTCTTACTTGAACTCTTGTGAAGCGCATAGAAAGGCGATGTTTAGAACGAGAAGATAGTGTAAGACGGTGTAAGCACAAGTGAGAGGCTAGACACTTGCAGTGAGAGAGGGCGTAAGAGAAGACAATCTAGTGGGGATAGAGGGAATGAGAAAGAGAGAGAGAGAGAGAGCAAAGGAAAGAGTGAGAGAGTCCTCGATAGAGAAAGAGAGAGAGGGAGGGAGGAAGAGAGAGAGGGTGGGAGCGAGAAAGCCAAACAAAAACCTAACATTAAGAGTGAGAGCAGGAGACAGATAGAGGAGACAAGAAAGAGAAAGGAGTCAGAGGGAAGGCCAATCAGAAAATCTACCTTTGAAAATTCCAACTATTGCATAAAATGTTTACACATTTATTTCAATTTCGACACACACACACACACATGTATATGTAAGCTAATATACATATTTATATTATTTATGTGCGCACATTTCCCATTCGCAATAACACGAATACCGTGTGAAATGCTGCAAAATTTGCTTAATTTGCCAAATCTCGGCAATAAACAATAAAATAACTGAAATATTTGAACGCTTGGCCGGGCCAATAAAACAACTATCAATACATATTCATAATCAATTTATGAAACCGAATGTAATTTTGGACAAATTTTCAATTAACATAAATTGCAAATGAAAATATGCATAATTTTGTGAAAATATTTTCCGCAGGCAATCGGCAGTAAATTTGTGTGCATTTTGTGATTAATTCGCTGTCCATTTAATTGCCAAACACACACGCACACACACACACACACACGCACAACAATGCAAAGATTGAGTCGTTTTGGATTTCCAAAAGTCAAAAAAAGAAAAGAGAATGTGAGACGCGCACATTTTATGCAAATTTCTTTGAATGCTTGTTAACATTTATTGCCGCCGGCTGTCTGGGCGAGTGCGTGGGCGTGGCAGCGGTTGGGCGGCGGTGGGTGGGTTTGGCTTGGCGCACACGTGCAAATATTCAAAACCAAAATCTGAAATGCAGCCCAGCAAAAGATTTTTAATTAAAATGTTGTTGCCTTCGAAATGGCAGCATTTAAGCAGCTTTCGGGCTATTGTTATGCAGATTTTACGACGTCTGTGTGTGTGTGTTGAGGAGCGAGGGGCAGGGGGAGGGGCACCATAAACATAAACGTAAACAATAACTACTGATATGCAGATAAAATGTTTGCGTTGGGCCAAAAGCAGAGTCAAAAGTTGTTTTAATTGATTTCCCCTATTCGCACAACATTTTCATGTTGCATTTTAATAAATTCAAGCACGTACCGTTAGTTAGTTTCGGTGTGGAAAATTTGATGAAAATCGGTGTGTCGTGTGCGGCAGCAAGCAGCTTTTGTCCGTGTCTGACAGCTGGGCGCACGGGGCGTATGCGTATTGTTGCTGCATAATTAAAATGTTTGGCTTTTGATTGGGCTTAGTCGAAGCTAAACAATTTAATTCAACTAATTTGTGCGCGTGTGTGTGTGTGTGTGTTAATTGTTAAATTTTTGACATGCCCAAAGTGCCAAACAATTGTCGTAATGAGCGCAATTTGCCATTCGAATAATTAATGCATTAGCAGTTGAGCTATTAAGAGATATGCTTACATTGACAAAGACTTTAACTTATTCAAAGCGAATCTCAATTTGCTGCATATAAAAGAAACTATATGAATCGAAGTACTATAATTATCAATATAGAAATTATAGTTCGAAGCAAACGATATTTCTTATAGATTTGGAATCTCTAAAATCGCAATATATAGTCAAATATTAACATTAGGATTGGTTGAATTCTTCTCGACATTACTTTCGTAAATCCTGAATGTATATGGAAATCAGAAATTGCCCTTTTTTATATGCTAGCGCATAGCAGGAGCTGAGAATCGCGGAGAAGGGTATTAAATCGGCGGCATGCTGATGATATGTCGTCTAGTCCGTTCAGTCTCTTGATTTTTTCACCAAATGCTTTGCATTATTAAGCAATAAATTATTTAAAATGCGAATAAATGGACTTTCAATCCAATTGCGAATTCGATGAGCTAGAAAATCTCAAACACAATCGATCGAAAATCAACAATTCAATTGTCTAGAATTTGAATGGAATTTAAATAAATTTTAAATACAGTTCTATAAATATCTCTTGCATTCTTAAACAAAAGCATTTTCAATATTTTACCGATTAAAACATTTAAAATAGAAATATGTTAAGTTCAAAATAATTCTATATAATAATAACATTTTATTGATATTTTATCAATTGTGTTGAGAATAAAATACTTTCGCTCTGTCTCCCTCTTCATCGGGTTAGTTCTCCGATTGCTCTGACTTCCTCTAATAGAGTCCCTCCCATCGACTCCTTCTAAAGAAATTAGTTCAATGGAACATCTCCTACAGCTGCAACTCCCTCCAAGTCTTTTGGCTCTTGCTGCCAAATAACACTTGGCCCAAATGCAATTACAATCGAGCTGAACAAATGCTGCAAATTGTGTTTGCTGACTTAAGATGTCACACGCCCCCTCCCCCAACCCACTTTTCGGCAACTCACGTTGTCACCACTTGCCCCAAAATGTTGCACATTAACAAACTCACCTGTGATTAATCAAAAGCCGATTGCTTCGCCCAGACACCTGTCCAATGTCTCGTTCTCTTGATACTTGATTTTGATTTGGAATTTGATTTCGATTTTCGCTGTATTTTTTTTTTTATATTTTTTGTTGTAAAAGTGGCAGCTGCTGCTACCTTAAGCGCTGCTTGCGGCTGTGCCTTTTGGCCATAAATAACAATCAATAATGCAAAGAAGGGCGTTAGAAACGCGGCCACAAATCAAATGACACCAAATAATAATTTCAAATCAAAAATATATATATTTAGCTAAAAAAAAACACAATACAAAACACACGCACACACGCACACACACACAGTCACACAGGCACAGCAAAAATGTGAAATTATAAAAAACGAAACTTTTCTTGTAAAATTTTGAGCTAAAGTTAATATTGTTGTTGTTGTTGCTGTTGTTGCTGTTGTTGCAGTGTGAAAATTTGGCTGCAAAAAATAGCCAAACAAATGCCAAAAAAGCAATATACATTTGCATAAAAAGCCAACAAAGGCTATTCAGCGGAATCTGGCATATATAGCGTGCATATATATGGTGCAAGTATAGCATATATAAAGCCTAGGACTTTATGCGCTGCAGATTTATGCGGAGAATATGCAAAAATCGAGCCAAAAAAAAAAATATATATAACTGGCTATAAAAAGCTGCCGGCCAGCAACTGCATTTGGCTTGCTTCCTTTTTTTTTGGCTACTAAAACTGTCTCAAGTTAATCGCTTTTATTTATTTTCGCCACAGCCAAGCGCAAAAAAAGCTAAAAGAAAAAACACAACTGCAACCGGTTTACTACACACAAACACACACACAGACACACACACACACGTACGTGCGCCTGTAGAAATTTTGCGCGCCTTTTGGCTATTTTCTTTGCTTTTGGTTTTGTTATTTGCAGAATTTATGAAAAACTCATCAAAAACAAAACAAAAATAAAAGCGTTTTATTTATTGTTTTTGTTGCTTGCGCCCTAAACACACACGTGTGTGTGTGTGTGTGTGTGTGTGTGTGTGTGCTGCAGTTGCAAGGCAGGCAGCAACAGATAGACACAGCACCAGGTTTCATGTCTAGCCAGGTAGCTGCTGCTGCTGCTTGGCCAGGTTAACACGCCAAACTGGCGACGTCATAAAGTCAGCTGCGCGTCTTCCTAGCATCTTTAGCCAGTGCTGCCACGGCCAGTGCTGCCACTGCCGCTGCCACTGCCGCCGCCGCCGCCGCTGCTTTTGTTGTGACTTGTGGAACGCTTTGTTGTTGTTGTTGCTGCTGCTGCTGCTGCTGCTATTCGGTTGACAGTGCAGCAGAGGCTGATGCGAGGCAGCTTTCAAGGCTGTTTAGAAGGCAGCCAGCGCACACACACACATATACACACATACACACACACACACACACACACACACTGAAATACTTGCACACTTGCAGTTTTGTTTTTGTCAAGCACGAGCTGCCCTTTTGTTTAAGTTTAATGCAATAAACAACAGCATGTACATATATACATAAATATATATATATATATGTATGTATGTATGTATGTAAAAGTGCAACTATATGCACATAGGCTGCTTCAAAAATATTCTTTTTTCTTTTAATTGCTAAAACTGGTTTCTGCAGCGGGGGGGATTCGGGGGGACTTTGGGCTGCGCTTTTGCTGCTTAATTAGCTAGTTTTTTTTTTGTTGTTTTTTTTTTTTTGCAACTAAATTTACCGTTTGCTATTTATGTTTGTGTGTTTGTCTTGAATTTGTTGTTTGTTTTGTTGTATTTGTATTTGTTTGTTTTGTTTTGTTTTGTTTTTTTTTTTGTTTTTTGTTTTCTGTTTTGTTTTGTTTGTGTTGAACGCGACGCGAACTCGTCGAATGTGTCTGAGAGCTAAACTCGAGTTGCACCCAACGCAGCGTCGTGCTCGGTCGTTGTTGTCGTTTTGGCTGGCAAAGCTCAACTGAAACCAAGCTCGCCAAGAGTTCGAGCTGCTGCCGCTGCCGCTGTTGCCGCTGTTGCCGTTGCTGCCAACGCCAACGCCAAAAGCCAAAGCAGTTAACTGGTTTATTTTTTTTTCATCTTTTTTGCTCGTCGGCCCGAAGCCAAAGTCGACCGAGTCGTTTTCAACTCGTTTCGTCTCTCTCTCATTCTCACACTCCTCCTCTCTCTCGCACTCTCCTTCTCTTTGGTGCTTCCGCTTGCCGAAAATATACAGCAGCAGTGGCAGCTGTTCAAATAGTAGTAGCTGCGCGCATAATAGTAGTAGAAAATGCAGCAAAGCAACAGTAATTAGCTGGCCGCTCTCTTTGCACAGCGCTCTCGCGCTCTCTTAAACGGAAGTAGAAAATTGCAACTGTCGGCAGCAACAACAACAACAGCCGGTTTGTGTTTGTTGTTTACTTTTTGCACTCGCGCGCGCTCCTCTGTTATACGTCTGTTATACGGCCAAACAGCTGTTAAACAGTCGCTCGCTGGCCGCTTAACAAGGCGGTTGGGCGGGCGGCTCAGCTCAGCTCAGGTTTGGGCTCTTTGTGGTCCCCTATTTTGTGGGTGGTTGCCATGGCGCGTTTGATAAATAGGCAAATAAATAAATAAACAGTTTCAAGTGTTGCCGCAAATTGAGTCAAATTTTTACTTTTACTTCAGCAATAAATTCAATTGCAATGCAATCAACCGCAATGAGATCATTTTTCATTGAATGTTGCGTTAATTATAACACTTAAAGCGAATTTCGCCAAGTGTTATAACCTAATTGAATTGGCAGCACTGGCAATTAGGTAATATTGGTAATTATCAAAATAGGCTAATGCCGTACTAAATTATTGAATAATGAGTTTTAATTTTTGGATAATTCGCTAACCGTGAAAAGAAATATTTAAAGCTTGAACTGCTTTTGACAAAGAAGAACATCAAAATTTTAAAGAAATAACCCTTTTTTTAGGTTAGGTTAGGTTATTGACAATTTATGGAAAGGCGTATCACTAATAAGTAGTATGATGAAAAATAGATAAATGTAAATGTACTTACTTTGTGAGTCTTGTAGTTTTTTTTCTCGACCTGATGGCATTCGGTTTCAAGATGGAGATCTACAAAAAAAAGGAGAAATATAGCTAGTTTAAAAGGTATTAGAAATCTGACTTGGAAGACCTTAGAAAGTATGCTTCTGCAAAGTAAGACTTAACGACCAGATACTCAAATTCCCAAAAATATATACATATCTTTTCTCCTTCTTTTCATTAGGCAGTTTTTAGTTTCTGCAGATTCTACCCATTATTTTATTATATAGATTCTATTTAACTGTAAAACTGTGCTGCACATTTCAATTAAACACCATTTAAATGTCTTAATCATTAGCAGCTATTAAAGCATAGCGTTTGTTTTATAACATAATTGTTATGCTACTCTATTACCCTTGCCCCACTTCAGATGCCACACGCCCCACGCCCCACGTCCCACACCCCCCTTGCCTGCACGGCCTGCTGCGCACAATTGTGAATTTCATAACTTTATTAATACATTTGTCCATTGTCTGCTTTATCGAGCCGCATTCAGGCGCGACAAAAGACAAAAACCGAAAGACCCAACCCATAATAAAACCCGGGCGGGGGCTACCGGTGTTCAGGCTACTTGCGGTTGTTGCTCTTGTTGTTGTTGCTGTTGTTGTTGTTGTTGTTGTTGGCCTAGCTGCCCCCCAGGAGTCAAAACCAAAGAAATTCCAATTAATGAAAATGCGAATAACAAAACAAAGGAGCGGCTCGGGTAGTTATTTGGGGGGGTAGAAGGGAAAAGGTTCAGGCCAAGTTTTTTATGTGGACTTATGCAAACAGCAGGTGTTGTACTTTACTCTTATAAAGGGTATCATTAATTAGGCATAGTGGAGGACAACTGTGATATTATAGTATACATATATATATGTTATATAGATATATTGACGGAAATATATATATGATATAGTCGGCCTAATATATCATATAGCTCTATCTTCCAAAGATCGGTAGGCAAAATTAGTTTAGTTCTCAAGCTAAGTTAACAAAGATAAACCTTTTGGCTCAAAGCAACTCCCATTCACAAGTTTATAAGGGTATTTGCTCTTCGGCGTGTTGCCTTTCTTTTTTATCTGATTTTACCTTTGCTTTGGCTTTGTTTACATCTTTTTTTTTTGGCCACTTTTATGCAGGTTTTATTGACTCATTTAGTGTGCCTGATGACTTTTCACTGCATTCGCCAATTCGGGTTATTAGCAGGTGTTCAACTTCAACACCCCACCAACCGCCCGACCCCCTCCCGCTGCGCATCATAGCTGTCATTAAAGAGTTGGCCAAAGTGTGAAAAATTTAATTAACAGACCGAATGTAAAACACTTTTTGTGCGCCCACGCGGAAGCGCAACGTGTTGCAGATGAAGAAGAAATGCCAGCAGCAGAGCTATTACAAACAATTTTCAAATCGGCCACGCCCACTTGTGCGTCGCCCACGCAGCAGCTAGTTGCCACCTTGTGGCAGCAACCCAAGCCACCCGCAACGACGCGTCCAGTTGTTGCATGTGGTTGTTGTCGGTTGTTGTTGCTGACGGTTGTTGTCGGTTGTTGTCGGTTGTTGTTGTTGTCGGTGCGTCGGAAGTTGTCGCCGGCAGTCAACAAACCATAACGCACAGCCAACGGTACTTTGACGAGCTGCAGAACATTTAAAGCCGCTTTTAACTGCCAGCCAAGTTGTTGTTGTTGTTGCTGCTGCCGTTTGCATATTAAATTTGTAGAAAAAATTCATTAAAATTGTGTTGTTGTTGAGCGCTCAACAAATTAGCCAAAGCCAAAGCCAAAGCAAACAGCACAAGAAATGGCCAACAAATATTCATAAGCCTGGCCTATATATTTTTGTGGCTTTTTATTGTGGCCTGAAAATGGGCACGAAAACAAAACAAAACAAAACAAAAACAGAAGAAAACAAAAAAAAACTGCATAATTTTTCAATTAAAGAAGATTACGTATAGAACTTTTCTTTTTTTTTTTGGCTCTATATTTACAGAACCATTTTTATGTGCTAGCTTTAATGTTGACTTTAATTGAATGCAGATATGAAACCCGGCCTTGCCCGTGATACGCATAAAATAAATTTGTTCAAAGATTTTGAAAAGTGTAAAACCGAACGTAAACCCAATCGCTGAAACACGCATCTATTAAGTTCTTATTTAGAGCTTAATAATTAAGCTTAAATCAAATCG